CTTACAGTGTCCTGTGGTCCTAAACGACAGAGGTCCATCCAACAAGCGGCCATGATGGAGACTGAGAGACCTGTGTCCGAGGCACTTATATACCTTTCTATTTGTTCCAAACCATCCTGGGACGCTGACCTTATCGGGAACCAATCCTAGACTTGCCCCACTCCCTTCACAGTCGAAGGGGTAAAAATAGGGGTAAGGAGGTACTCCCCGTTCCAAAGCATCCTGGGCTGATGACCTCATCGGAAACCAATCTTAGACTTGCCCCACTCCCTTCGCAGTCGAAGGGGTAAAAATTGGGGTGAGGGGGTACTCCCCATTCCAAATCCTAGACTTGTCCCACTCCCTTTTCGCCCAAAGGGGTAAAATAGGGATAAGGGGGTACTCCCTCTCAGTCTGCTATTTAAAACCTTCACACGTTTTGAAAAGGACCAAAACAAAGTTTGTTGACTCACGAAATGGAAGTTAGAAGAAGTCGAAGACTACTAGGATNACAGTGTCCTGTGGTCCTAAATGATAGAGGTCCGTCTGACAAGCGGCCATGATGAAGACTGAGAGACTTGTGTCCGAGGCACTTATATACCTTTCTATTCGTTCCAAAGCATCCTGGGACAGTGAGCTCATTGGAAACCAACCCTAGACTTGCCCCACTCCCTTCACGGTCGAAGGGGTAAAAATAGGGGTGATGGGGTACTCCCCGTTCCAAAGCATCGTGGGACGGTGACCTCATCGGGTACTCCCTCTTAGTCTGCTATATAAAACCTTCACACGTTTTGAAAGGAACCAAACAAAGTTGTTGACTTAGGAAATGGAAGTTAGAAGAAGTCGAAGACTACTAGGATTGACCCCCAAAGTAGATGAGTTCAAGGACAAATGTGTCATTTGTCAAGGCGACCTTGTCATTGACTCCTTGACTCGATGTAGTGCGAAAACTTATTGCTGTGGAAAATTTTTGCACAAGAGATGTTTGCAACAGGAGTTACAATACTCAGATAAGTGCGGACATTGCAAAACCTCAAATCCTCGGTGGAATGAAGATGAGGAACAACTTTCACCTTGAGAGGAGGTGGTACGCGAGAGGATTACCAACGCAACGAATCCCGTCAATAGGTATCGGCGAGGGGGACGGCCTTATCATATTCACAATCGTAATGTTGTTTCGTGGATGACCTTGCCGTACCATGCGAATCTTTCCATCTGGTTTGAATCTTATACAAGGCTCACCATCTTCGTGCAGCAAAGGCGAAATGCTACCCTGTACATCCATGCCATCCTTCGTAGCCTTCTTCTACTTACAGGTAATAGGACGTTGAAAGCAGCATTTTCGGCGTAGTTTTGGGATTTTCCCTTATCCAGGAACTGCTAGACTTTTTTCAGGTAGGTTTCTTTGACGTCTTCCCCGACGCCTTGACGTAACGGACTCCACGGATCTGGTTCATCGTCGTCCGCTTCTTCCTCTTCGGAGCTGCTGCTATCCTCCTCTTCTTCCTGTTTCTCTTCAGGCTCCTCTTCGTCCACCTCTTCTTCCTCTTCTACGTTCTCATCATTGTTATCTTCCACGGGGCCAAAAATATCTGTTGAACGATCATCCATGATTCTCGTTCACCTTCATCCAAGACAACGTGCTTCAAATGAGCCAAGTCGATTAAACTGGTGTTTAATATACCATTTTGGGCAATGATCAGACCTCCTCTCTCTTTCTTCAATGCCAGTGCGGGTATCTTTCGTGCGTCATGAGGTGACAAAACACGCGTTTCATGTCATCACTGGTGGGATGTAAATCCAGGACCGTGTACCCAAACAGTCGTTCGGTCACTTTTTGATACGCGTCCATCATGTCTTGCCAGCAAGTGGGAAAAGCTTGAAGCAGTAAATTCTTCGTCCCTAATTGATCTCTTGGATTTTTGAAAGCTACGATGTAGTGGGCGTTCCTTGAAATACTCTTGGTGTATTTCCCTTGTGGGAACATGTCTTGGCACAAGTACAACACGGTGATATTTTGATGATGAGAGTGTTTGTCCTCACCTCCCTCTGCTATCAGATCGTCTAATACGAGTAATCCACCCTTCGGAAACCATAACTTGAGATGGTCTGACTCTGGAATCCCTTCGTGAAATTGCACACCACCGTCTTCCATATCTCTAAATCCGTCTTGCCACGCCCTAGCAATAATGAATGGTAGTGGGAGGGTTTACAAACAATTCTTACAAGTGATCCAAGAGTAACGATTCGGTAAAACAAGTCTTGCCACACCCAGAAGGGCCCACGATCAAAATACTGGAGGGTGTCTTGAACCGAAACGCTTCTCCTATTTCTATTCTACTAGGGATCCCATGGTGCTTTTCGGTAGGAAATGTGATATTTGGGACATCTCGTGTCTTTTCTGATCCACTGCTTTGACAACTATGTTTTTCGCGACGAATTCTACTGTCTGCACGAGAGAATAGTCTATGACAATATCGACAATACAAGGACATGACTCCTTGCTAGTTTGACTCAAAATGAATTGAGGCAGTTAATGCCTTAGTTTTATACATGATTAATGGAGTTGACGAGTATGGTGGAGGTGGTGGCGGCGGCGGCGGCGGCGGTGGTGGTGGTGTAGGGGGTGGTGAATATGGTGGTTGTGGTAGTGGTGGTGGGGGAAAATGGTCATGTTGGTGAATGTGGTGGATGTGGCTGTGGTGGTGGTGAATGTGGTGGTTGTGATGGTGCATGCAGTGGTAGTGGTGGTGGTGGCAGTGGCGGTGAATGTGGTGGTGCTGGTGGTAAATGTGGTGCCGGTGGTGGTGGATGTGGTGGTGGTGTAGGTGGTGGTGGTGGTAAATATGGTGGCGGTGGTGGTGGTGTCATCGTAAAAGATGGCATGAAAACAACAAGGAACGACTCGCTAGTAGCCAGAGAGCCCATTGTCAACAGAACAAGGAGCACATCAGAAATTACCACAGACAATACTGTAAAAACAACAGGGAACGGATCAACGAATATTGGAGAAGTTATTATGCCAAGAATAAGGAACGGATCAGGCAAAGACTTCATGACCAAAAGCAAAGAAAACTGGGGCAGAATATCGTGCGTTTTGGGGCCAGGGACCAAGAGTCTGTGAAACTGGAAACAAGTTTAGTTCCCAACACTTTGTGGAATACCGACGGTCAAGACTTAAAGAGTTAAAAATTGTAATCAATTCTCTTTCGGAGTTCATATTATTTTTTTTATTATCATTATTCGATAAACGTTATAAAGACTCAGACTCTTTGTTTTTGTTTTTGTTTTGTTTTACGAGTTTTTTGAGTTACAACAAAAGTTATGTTACACCCAAGCTGTGTCTTCAGGGTAAATGGGGGGGTGAAAAAGATGACTGAAGAGTTAATGTGTTGATAATCACTTNTACCATCTTTTACGACGGGTTTTGAGAATCCCGACGTTCTCTGCACGATATCTCTTTTGTTGGACCAGGATTTGATGTCTGTTCTTGGCATAATATTTTTTGTGATAGGCCATTTTACAGACAACCCTGATCCACTGCTTTGAGAACTATGTTTTTCGTTACGAATTCTACTGTCTGCACGAGCGAATAGTCTATGACAATATCGACAATAAAGGGACATGACTCCTTGCTAGTTTGACTCAAAATGAATTGAGGCAGTTAATGCCTTAGTTTTATACATGGTTAATAATGGAGTTGACGAGTGTGGTGGAGGTGGGGTAGGTGGTGTGATGGCGGCGGTGGTGGTGATGGTGGTGGTGATGGTGAATCTGGTGGTGGTGTAGGTCGTGGATGTGGCGGTGGTGGTGAATCTGGTGGATGTGGTGGTGGTGAATGTGGTGGTGGTGGTGGTGGTAAATATGGTGGTGGTGGTGTAGGTGGTAGTGGTGGTGGTGGTGGATGTGGTGGTGGTGGATGCGGTGGATGTGGTGGTGATGTAGGTGGTGGTGGATGTGATGGTGGATGTGATGGTGGATGTGGTGGTGGATGTGGTGGTGG